CTCCTTGCACCTCCACATCCACTTATATCTTCAATTGATCACATTTCATGATGCATTCTTGTACCTCCACTTGAACTTATACCTTTACTTGATTAATTCATATATGTTCAAGTGTATCATACATATAGATGGAATTTCACTTAAGTGAATAAGCCCTTATACCTCCACTTGAATGCATATAAAATATAAATAGTAGCTACCAGCACATATAATATCAATAAAATTTGAAAATCATCCATACACAATATTCACAACAACATTTGAAAACTTTTATTGTTCTATAGCAACTTCTATTAGAATCAATATACCCGCTAAAATATTTTAAATGTCTTACATACAAAACATCTACTTGAAATTTCAATTTTTCCTATCAACATGATTAGAATATTCAATTATGTTACATACCAAAAGTTATAAGGTGAAAACTTCCTAAATTCTTAGAAAATTTCAAAAAAAAAAATAAAAATATATCAAAAATACGCACATAAGTGTCGAAATTGAAATATGAAGGTACTGATAACCTACCTCAAGAAAAACAACTTCCTCAACTAGCTTGATGGGTGAAATTGGCTCCTCAACCTCTGAATCTCACTTTCTCTGTATGATTCTTTCTATAATAACATCTAATGTAGTATTAAGTCTACATGTAATGTCCTGAATTGAATATAGTAAGCACAATCGCTCAATTTCTTAGAGAATTAAACCCCCTCCATTGCTAACATCGTGCAATTACAACCTTATTGGACCTTCATAGATGTCATCAACTTGTCTATCAAGGTATAAAAATAACAAAAGACTAGCAAGAACACCTACAACCGACACACATGATCAAGCTCATCTCTAGCTCCTAAACCTGTGATGAGCCGACAATTAGAAAACACTAGAAATCCTACTACTAAAACAACAGGGCCACCTCCTACCTCAATAACCACACAAGAAACCATGTTTCAAGTGTCATGGTTTTGGGCATATTGCAGCAAACTATCCTTCATGTTGCGTTATGACCCTTGTGGAAGAAGTCATCACTTTGAACGAACCAAAAGTAAATAAAGCCATGGAAGAAACCTTTGTAGTAGAAGAAGGAGAGTTGTTGATAGTATGATGACTCTTAAACATTGAGTACAACAAGGACAACAACATCAAGCCTTTATCCCACTACATGGGGTCGGGTACATGAATCTGTTTTTTCCCTTGTGTCCAGTTAAGAGTCAAATTCTCATTTAGATCTAATAAAGAAATGTCATTTCTAATATGTTCCAACCAAGTATTTTTAGGTCTACCTCTACCTTTCTTAACATAGGTAAAATCTAATACATCTACTCTCCTAACCGGGTCATCGGAAGGACGTTACTTTATGTAACCATTCCATCTAAGGCGACTCTCTCTAATCTTATTTTCCATTGGAACTACTCCAACCTTTTCACGTATATGCTCATTCTGTATCCTGTCTCTAAGAGTAAAAAAAACTCATCCACCTGAGCATCCTCATCTCTGCAACACTTAACTTAATATTATGTTTCTCTTTTAATGGCCAATATTTTGTGCCATAAATTATTACAAGTCTAATTGTCATCTTGAAGAATTTTCCCTTAAGTTTGAGTGGTTCTTTTCTATCACACAACAAGCCCAATGCATTCCTCCACTTCATCCATCTAACTTGAAATCTACTAATAATATCATCATCTATTTCACCATCACTCTGAAAAATAGACCCAAGATATCTAAAATGTGCACTCTTATTAATGACTTGATCGCTCAAAGTCACAAACCCCCCACTAGATCTATTATTACTAAAATTACACTCAATGTATTTGGTTTTAGATCCACTCAAACAAAAACCTTTAGACTCTAAGGTTGACTTTCATAATTCAAGTTTACCTTCAACTCCCTCTTTAGTTTTATCAATAAGAAGAATATCGTCAGCAAAAAGCATACACGAGGGAACATCCTCTAGCAAATCTCTAGTAAGAATATCCATAACTAAAGCAAGAAGATATGAGCTTAAGGCTGATCCTTGATGTAATCCAGCTGAAATTGGAAAATAGTTGGTCAAACTACCTTGTGTTCGAACACATGTAACAGCTTCAGCATACATATCCCTAATAACTTGAATATATGCATTATCAATCCCTTTCTTTTTCAAAACTCTCTATAGCACTTCTCTTGGAACTTTATCATATATTTTATCTAAATCAATAAATATCATATCAATATCTTTTTTTCTCTATATACTTCTCCATCAAACCTCTCAAAAAATGTATGGCTTCCATAGTATACCTACTCGACATGAATCCAAATTGATTTTGAAAAACATTAGTATCACGTCATAACCTATGCTCCATAACTCTCTCCCATTGTTTTAAAGTATGACACATCGACTTAATTCCTCTATAATTTGCACAATCTTATGCATCACATTTATTCTTAAAATTAGGAATCAATACACTGATTCTCCACATATTTGGCATCTTTAGTCTTTAAAATAATATTAAAAAGTTTAGCAAACCAAGAAATTCCTTCATCTCCTAAGTATTTCCACACCTCTATTGAAATATCATCAGGTGCAACAATTTTTCCACACTTCATTTTTTTTTAAGTCTCTCAAACTTCAATTTTAGTAATACGTCGATAAAAACAAAAATCTCTATTTTCATTTAGAGTGTTAAGGCCACTAAAGTCACCAAGCTAAAAATACTCCTAAAACACTGAGTATGATCAAGAAAATGATTACGACATAATATCTTTCGCACACTATGAATTGTTTAAGGTAAGGTATGTAGCTTGGTGATCGATTGAAGAAGTTGCGAGAATGTGATTTCCACTCTTATGATAGAATGATTGGGATTGTCTACCTCACCTCATCCAAAACCATACCAACTCACATGGCTAAAAAAAGGTAATAAAATCAATATAAGTAAGCAATGTCTCATGTCATTTTCTATTGGAAACAGGTTTAAGAAACAATTTTTTTGTGATGTCATTCCAATGGATGTGTGCCAAATTCTTCTTGGCCGCATGTGGCAATATGACCGCCACATTAAGTATTATGACTTCTACAACACTTGTTCTAAAAGGATGTACAATATGTAATCTTGCTTCCCACCAAAAAAAAAAACAACAAAAGCCATCTCAGATTGCAATATAGAAATCGGATAAGATAAAATACTTTTGACACCCTAAAAGTATAATACCTCTTCGTCCACACATAAACACACCCGCTACTTGTTGCGATCAATCTGAGCTTCATACTTGCTCAACTAATCCATTCCAACTAAAATATCAAATTCCCTCAAAGGTCATACAATTAGTTCTAATGCTAACTTTTTACCAAAAATCTCAATCTCGCATGCACAGACTTTACTAGTAAGCATCAAATCTCCAGTCAATATCATAACAGATAATTTAATATAGAACATGCTTATATATGAAGAAATGACTAGCACCAAAATCAAAAAGAATATGGTAAGGTTGTTTAGAAACATATCATACCTGTCACCACGTCTAGAACCTCTTTTATCTCATCTTAAGTCAGACTGTAAACTTGGGGCAGTACTAAAAGAGCACTACCAACTACCATAAACTCCCTCTATATCCCTAACTGCCTTCCATTGAATTTTCTCTTGCTACAAGTTGACGATCCCTCACTTAATAACTATAGACAAAGCTATTACTAACGATGATATCTAACTCCATACAGTTTTGGATATACCATCTAGTGCATTATGGGGACATCAAGCCACCTTGTGTCAGATTGGCCACAGTGGAAACACTAATCTATGTAACGATAACACATACCAAAATGCCTCCTACCACAATATCCACACATTAGGATATTACTAATAGATACAGATCCACATGTACTAATAGAGACTGCTGACCCTTCCTGGATTCTCCACCATTAAACCTGGACTTCTTTCCGCTGACTACATTCTTAGAGGGCTCCCCTACCGATCTTTTTCTACTCACATCCCACGTCTTTTTAGTAGGCATCAAATCATTCTCTACTAATCTGACTCACTCCACCAACTCAAAAAAATCATGAATATGAAATGGTACTAGTGGATGCCTCAAACTATCTCTCAATGCTCTCAAAAAATGGTAACATTTCTCTTCCAGAGTACTAACAAATTAACAAGTATACCTGGTTAGGGATGTAAACTCTGCTTCATATTGCATTACAAACTTGCTACCCTGAAACATTCTCAAGAATTGTTCTTGCATATATTGTCTCACAGATGGCAGCACAAACCAATCTCTATAGATCTCCATAAAGTCTCCCTAAGAAATCTCAACATTTGCATTACCCTGAAATTTCTCCCGCTTATGGCCTACCCACAAGTGCTCAACTTCTCCATCCAAGAGAAACACCGCCAAGAGTATTTTTTTGCCCTTAGGGCACTGCAAGCTTTTCAAATGATTTCTCGAGCCTCATCAACCAATCTTCTGCAACCCAAGGTTCTATAGCTCTTTGAAAATGGAAAGACTTCAATCTTAGAAATAATTACAAATGAAGATCTATCTCATCTCCCCTCACACCTGACATCTTACTATGGGCTTCTTCCATTACCTATGCTACCATCCCAGCAAACTGCAATATTGAATATGATGTTACTAAGGGGCAATATTGTGAGCTGTAGTAGCTCTGGAAATCTATCCATCCGCTGCTTCTGGGTCTTAGGAGTCCGTTTACAATAAAACTTTCAACTATTCAAAATAAAAGAGGATCAATAATAAACTCAATAACTTAGAGAATCATATAGAAATTAACATTAAATTACCTAAAATTTCTCTCTTTAAACTTACAAATAATTTCCTGCAACTCTAGTAATGATTAAATCCTACCAACTTTTTGAAACCATTTTGTAACACCCCATAATCTAAGAGAGGATTTTAACCAACATTGTCTAGAAGCTTTTAAAACCCCAATGATAGTCTTACCTTCTAGAGCAATCTAATCATCCAATAAATAAAATAAAATACAATATCAGGAGATACAAAACTTCTTTTTAGAATTTCATTTTATCTAGAATTTCCAAAATAATAGTTCAAAATACATTTATTTCAACAATATGACAAAATGAATTTTGAAATAACAAAAATAATATGTACCTTACAAACCCAGAACTCCTAATCTATCAAAATCAACTTACTCGACCAGGCCTTCCTTTTTTCCTAAAATATTTTAAACAACAATATGAGTATCGGACTCAAAAGGCCAGCATTTTTCCATAGCAAAATTAAATTCACAAATTATAATTAAAATAAGCAAAATAACATAGATTTATATTTTTATTCTAACTTATAACAAAACAAGATTTATACTTTATAGAGCATGGCAAAAGGATAAGTTAAACTCACATGCTAATATGGATGCAAAAAAGCATATGTATAAATGCCTGCTTGTAACTCCCCTGTTTCCACCTCTCACCTACCTTAAACAAGTGTGGAGAAGAACTAGAACAGAGCAGGATATTTTTAACACAAAGCCATTGCAGAGCCAAAATAAAGTAGAGTAATACAAAGCATATATATATATATTTGTATTGAGCCTAAGCACAGAGTACAAATTACACTTTTCTTTTCATAACAAAACTCCAAAATATCATGAAATGTATAACGAAGCATATGCAATGTATAACAAAAGAATTGAAGCATGCATATCCAAAAATATCTAGTTCTTGTTAGAATTCCCCCAACTTTCAGACGTCCGCTCAAATTTCTCAGAATAATATAAATTTAACGGAGACAAATTTAAAATATCAATTTAACATTTTGTCAACTACACCAAGGTTTAAAAATGACACATGTATCCAATATTCTCATAAATCCATACCGGACAAACCAATCAGTGAAAATTTGTATTCTTATAATCAATTCGTTCAAAACAAAGTGTAGAGTATTACACTAAAAATTGTGCTATAAAACTTTTCTTAAATCCAAGAAAATGCATTTTTTATCATATCTTTTTATAAGAATAGTGAAATTAAAATCACAAAAAAGAGCATAGGTTACCTACCTCGAATCTAATAATTTATTTAACTAGTTGAATAGATAATTTTTGAATTTTGGTCTCTAAACCCTATCTTCTTCTTTCTCTCTCCTCTTTTTCCTCCTCTCCATTCCTTCTTTTTTTTTTTTTTTTTTGTCTTACTGGGGAAGAAAGTAAGAGAGGGAGAGAATTATGAGTGGCAGATGATTGACATTATCTATAATCAGCTTTGTATATGAGACCTAATCTCCCGCTCTGCATTCTTCTAGGATCTCCAATACGGCCAATACTAACCCATAGTAACTACAAAAACCTTTTGACAAGTTACTTAAAACTTTAATAATATTTATGTAAATAAAAATAGCATTTGTGTAACAAAAAGTGCCATAGCACTAAAGACAACTATTTAACTATAACTTTATAATGAAATGTGAATGCCTTTTTTTACTTCAACAAAAGCAGCTATGATTAGAAAATGTGACCATAAGCATTACTATTAATTGCAATTTTCAAAAATTATTTGACAAAAAATCAGTATTTATTGTAGTTTAAAATGCCAGTAGTGATTCCAAGAAGCAGCTTACCATGTTTACTATTTTTAAATAATCATCCATTTATGATTGCAAAAGTGTTGGCAAAAATGAATTGTTCCATGTTATTATTCTTGTTCCAATGTGTATATCTTATTGTGCAAGAGAAGAATTTGGGCTTTAAGGATATTGACGTAAATAATCCAATTGACTACAAATTTACAATCTAAGCATTCCATAAATCATTTAGCTGATATGGTAAGCTCCTAGACAAGGTTTGCTAAGGTCAGAAAGTAATTTTGGAATATGAAAACTCTTCATCAAGCATATTTCAGATACCTATTTACTGTGCAGCTTAAGAACTTGAATTTTATTGTCACTTCTTCCACTGTGGTAGTCTTTGGACAATAACCTGAAAGCACAGTTGGAAATATATATCTGTTATTTTTCAGTCTTTTGACATAAATGGTTAGAATGGTGTATTTGTTTCTTGAGGAAATTTCTTATACGGATTATCAATCAATTTGTGAATTAACTAGAGAATACTCAATGGAAGAGTTTTAGTCGGATCAAATAAAGGTTTTGTCAACCACGTTTAATTTTTTAAAATTTCTTATTGAATCACTGTCACCAAATGAAGAAAGGAGAGGTCGAGAATGCTATCTCAAATAGTTGAACAAAATAGAATTTAGGTGCCATCAAATAAGAACGTTGCTATTCAAAATAAAAGTTAGTTTTTTTTATAAATAAAAGTTAGTTCTAGACATGTGAAAACGGAGGATGTACGCATACCTTTCCAGAGTTTTCTTTGTTTCCTACGATAGTCTGACAAGCAAGCCTCCAAGATTCAGGCTTCTGTAAATTTTAAATGTGAAAGCAAATAAACAAGGTTCATATTTAGAGGATAGATCATTAAAGCATAAGATAATAAGGTGTGACGTGTACACTGAACGTATTCAAATCACCAATAATGTTTTACACAAAACCATAGGTGGCCTCAAATCAATCATTTGTGTTCATTAACAAGAAGGTCAAGCCAAGTTGAGTGTACTGATGCTCGAACTGATTGAATAGAAGACTATTCAAGTTAAAACAGCCCAAATCAGGCCAAACATGGCAAAATGGGCCAATCAACTCCTTCCATGTATTGGTGCACCATGTAAAGGCATAAACCTATGAAGCAAACACATTCCTCGCCATCGCTCATTATCCCATCAAAAATAGCCACATTGGTTTAGCCATGGCCAAGCGCTCATTAATGCACATACACGTCAAAAGTGTAAAATAATGTAGACCATAAAGCATAACGCAGTATAGAGTGGGGTGAAAATGGCACACAATAGCAGAGCGCAAGACCCCATAGCACATGAAATTTTCATTTTCATAATTTAGGATATAATATTAATATTTATATTATTTATCATATATTTATGAATGTTATATCATCTCTATTAAATATTTATTAAAGTTTACTAGCACATTGAATAGTTTTTGAATATTTGTCTCGGCTTTGGCTTCAACTCTAGGGCATCAAATCGAACATCCTTCCCTCACCCAAATTTGGCTTCAACTCTAGAGCATCGAACCAGACGTCCTTCCTCTATCAGCTTCAACTTCAACTCTAGGGAATTGAACATGAGAAGCCTCTCATGTTGGATCCCTCCATCTCTCTGTCGGCTTCGTTCTCCTATGATATGGAGAATGCCACACACTCTCGCTCTCACTAAACCATAAATGAGAATGGCTTGACAAGGCTTCAATAAGGATACCTGCTTTCACCTTTGATACTAAAATTAGGGGTTGTTTAGTTGCAAGCAGAATTTAACTCAAGTAGGATTTAGTAAATTCAATAAATCCAAATTTAATAAATCCTAAGGCAGTTAAATCCTAAAAATTTATTTGTCATGACAAAGATTAAATCCTATTAAACCTTGATATGTTGTTTGACTCATTTCAAAATTTAAGTCTATTGCTCAAATAATATTTTAATAATTATTATTGATGATGAAATTAAAATATATTACACAGCTACATTGATGAGCAGTCACAAACAAATAGCCAACATCGAATCTAATTTACTAGATTGAACATTAAAGCTATTTTGATACTTTTTTTGGGATTTAAGAATGTATATGAATATAGTATATTATTAATTAATAATTTACTAAAAGGTTAAATTTTAAAATTGTCCTACAACTATTCATATATGGTCATTTAGTCCGAGAGTATAACATTGGTGCAATTTAGTCCATCAACTATACAAAATTTATCCAAAATGATCCTTTTGAGAAAAATAGAGATCAATTTTATAAAGGCTTATATCATAATTATAATATGAGAAACTATTTCGGATATATTTTATATAGTCAAGGAATTAAATTAGGGAAAAGTGATACTCTGTAACTAAATTGGGCATACAAGAAAAGTTTGGGGATTTTTCTCATTTATTAAATATTGCTTAAGTTAATACTTGTAATTTATTAACATTAATTATTAAGATTAATTTATTTGTATCAAATTACATGATTGATATTACTATTTCTAATTTATAATTTTTTATCTACCTTAATTAGGTTAATTAAATAATAACTATTATATTAAGGTTGTGAAAATAAGACCAGACAACGAACCAAAAGGACAGGTTCAAGGTTCGACCGGTCAAACTGGATGATGTAATAAATACATATTATATTTAAATTTATAATAATGACATTTATTTATAAATATATAACAAAAAAATTAAACATTGTCATCATTTAAACCTACTTGGTCATCTCCCAACCTTATCACCTAACAAAATCCACTCAACTCCCTTTCTTGCTATCGAGGTCACCAAACCAGACCATCTCTCTACTTTCTCCTGCTCCCCCTACTTTAACAGAGCCCTCTCCATTGCCGCAAACTCAAAGCCATTGTCAATTCTCAACCTCTGAGCCCCTTCTCATCTTGGTCGAAACCCCAGCATCTGTTGTACCAATCTCCCAACAACTTCTCTGAGAAGAAATATTACATCGCAAAGTTCGGTAGCTGAGTAGTCAATGCGAGGAGAACTCACAGTAGTGCAATGTTGGAGAGGAATTGCTACAATGGCAAGAGGCGTTGGCGCTTTCGAGCATTTAGGGCAGCTTCGTGTCATTTTGGTGAAGGAATATGGGACTGGAACGGGAGAAACGCATCTGATTTCAGTGATTTGAACTGCCCAGTGTTTTGAAACTGGTACCAATTTTCTTGTTCATTCTCGATTATTTTCCAAATCGATTATTGAAAACCGACCAACCGACCAGTTCACGGTTCAACCGGTTGAATTGGTCCGGTTTTCAAAATCTTGTATTATATATTAATATCCAATTAATTATTACTTAGTAAAATATTAAACTTTTGAAATCCCGATAATTCCATTAAATATTGAGAAAATAGACAATAAATTATCACTAACATTAAGATATACATTTACAAACACCACAACACTTGGTGAAGCAATCAAATTATAAATAACAATAGTAACGTTCAAGCATTCAGACAACCTAAAAATTAGTTCCATTTCAGCTAAGGTTGTAGATATTGACTAACAACATCTTTGTTCTGCTTCTTACTCAATTACTCGGAGCAACCCTAGTTTCGCATGGTGGGTTCACTAGTAAACTTCGTGAGTTGTCGATCAGCTGCTTAAGGAGACGATACAGTTAGGCATCAGCTTAGGGAATGGAGAATGAGAGAAGGGCTACGAAACTTCACTCATGATAGGCTACAGCAAAGGAAAACAGCGATTGAGTTTAACTTTGGGCCAACTAGGTCTAGCGATGTACATGCGAAGGAGAAGTGATGCATGGGAAATTTGCTACTTAATAAAAATTTCACTTTTCTAAATTGTATTTTTCTATTCAAAATTTATAATGTACACATTTTATCTTTATTACCACTTTTATTCATAAATTTTTAATAATTTGCACCATATTTAGAATAACGTGCATCGCACTATGTGTTGTGTGCTACGACTCCCTGAGAAAGTTTGTGCTATGATGCGCTATTCGCCATTAACAAGCATGTTCATGCATAATAATTCTTAGATTTTGTGGATCTCCCCCAACTCAATATGACTTTTATAGGACACTGTTGCGAATCTGATTTAAAGAATTATAATTTTGATAATAACAAACATTTCTGACATTTCTATTTTTCTACAACTGTCTTGCCTACTAACATTTCAGATCCACAAGATCAAATGCAAATCAAGTCAGCTCAATATTGGGTAGATTAGGACTGAGTCGAACTGTAAAACGTTGTTAAGTATTTTTTACCTTTTATTGAGTCAATTGTAACAATGTGGGTCATGTTGCTAAGTAACCTTGCACACACACTCAGGAAAAAATTATGTCTGTTTTTAGAGTTTTTTATTTTTGATCACATCATCCGGGACGATCCTAAAATCGTCCTGGACAATTAGTTAAAAACAGAAACCCTAATTAGGGCATCCTGGTTAAGGCAGCGCAATTAAGCACATTGTCCTAGACGATATTAGCATCGTTCGGGACGATAGGCTCAAATCAGAAAGAATCAGTCGCCAGATTAGTTTATGCGTGTTTTATTTTTGGACATCGTCCAGGACATTGTCCAGGACACCGTCCTAGATAATGCATTGTAATTATGTCTAAATTAGTTTGGTGATTAAGGAAAGCAATTAAGGTTTGATTGCTCAATAATATCGTCCGGGACGATCGCAGGATCGTCCGGGACGATCAGTTAAACAAATATTAGTTTCTTCCTGGACGACCAGAATGATGTTCTGGATGATGTGTATTATTTTTGCACTAATCGTCCGGGACGATACAAAATCGGCCTGGATGATAAATTATTTTTTCATCGTTCAGATATGCATTCAGGGCGATGTGTTGGACGATATTTGTCATTTTGAACTAATCATCCAGGACGATTGTGAAATCGTCATGGACGATCAGTTTACTTTTCCATCGTCCAAACATGCATTTAGGGCGATATTCTGGACGATACTCAACGATTTGAACTAATCGTACAATATCGTCCTGGACAATTATGTCGGTTTGTTGCAATTAAGAGCAAATCCGAAGCTCTTCTATATAAGACCTCTTGTTTATCCAAGATTGTATCTTTTGCTGTTATCTTGACCTGAGAGAGTCAAGAGGAGAGGGAAAGTAAGGGAGAAAGAGAGAGGATCTTGTGAGGGGGAGTTTATGAGGGGTTTCACAAAGGTTTCTCCAAGCAAAGATCCAAGTAGTCTTCTCTGGTCGCCGTCCTTTGTTCCTTGGTGGTTCTAGAGAGGTCTACTTCAGCAATTGATCGAGATTCTCTGCCTGCTTCAGGAGGAAGCAAAAGGAGTCGGGTTCTCTGCCTACTTAAGGAGGAAGCAAAAGGAGTTGGGTTCTCTGCCTCACCGATGTCGATGGAAAGGAGGTTTGTATAGGCTTCTTCGCCTTACTGTGGGAGCAAAAGGAGAGTCACTGAGTTTAATGCAATACCCGGAAGAGAGGCTATGGGGAGAGAAAGTAGGTCAAGTTCACCGAACCATTATAAATTTTTGTGTTCTTTCTTACTGTTTTTCGCATTTAATTTCCACACTTAGTTTTTCTTGTGATGAATTTTGGTTTGGTTTAAGATTGTGTTTTTAATTGAGAAATTTTTAAAATACGAATTCACCCCCCCCCCCCTCTTAGTTAGCTTTGGGCTAGTTCATAAGGGATTAACATCCTTAACGAACTTTCAAGTGGTATTAGAGCGGGATTCATAAAATCAAGTTTTTTAAAATTTTTGAATTTTGATACATGGCTAACTCCAGTAATCGTAATACTGTGGAAGGGTATTCTATTACCCAATCACCTTTG